CGAGAGTCTGCAGGCCAGGCAGTCCGAGCTTCAGCAGGAGTTGAGTGAGCTGCGCTTGCAACAAGCTGCAGAGTCGGAGCATTGGCAGACGATCGAGGCGCTGTTTGCGGAGCCAAGGGGCGAGGGCAAGGCATCCACTCTCGTGGATGTGGCCACCAATACGGAGGCGGCAGCACCAGTGCCCGCCATGCGTCGCACGGCGCAGCTCATCGACAGACAATCGTCGCCCATTGGGTCCCCGAAGAGGCGGCTATCGAACCACGACACCACAACCCAGACAGAGCGCACCACAAAGCAGCTGCTGGAGACAGCTGTTCAAACCAATGGCTGCAGACCGCGCCAGAAGCAACCGCAGCAGCACCAAGCCGTGCAGACGGCGCAGGATGAGGAGCTGCTGCAAGTGCGGGCAGAGTAAGTAATTTATAGTAGAGGATCAGATTTTCGATTTGCTGCTTTCCCCTTTTTCGTAGGCTACTGGCAGCAAACAAACGTGTGGAGCAGCTGGGCCAGCAGCTGGAGACGACCAACAGCCGCAGGGAGTCGGATAGTCAGCACAGCGGCATCGTGGAGAAGACCATCCTGTCGTTCCACACTTTGCTGATGGAGAAAGATCAGTCCATTCAAAAGTACCAGGATCTGCTGCAAACGGAAAGGGAACAAGGTCAGCAACTGGCCACGAAGCTAGCGACCGAGAAAGAGACGCTCAAGGCCACGGTTACGAATTTGAATTTCAACATTAAGACCAAAGATCTGGAAGTCCTGGATCTGAAGGCTAAGTTGGAGCTGCACAGGTCGCCAACTCATGTCAATGTCCAGGCAAATGAGGCTTCGCTTGATCTGACGGATGAGAGGATTGAGGAAATGTTTGAGCGCAGCTCCGTGGATAGAGGCACTCAACAGCAGGATCAGTCAGAGGAGGATGTGGATGCGGGGCTTGCCGACGAAGCAGCCGGAGAGCGGGAGAAACAGGATACCGAAGAGCTAAAAGAACTGCCCACACTGCACAAGCAAATCAAGGAGCTCAAGGACAAACTGAGCTACTACGAGCACAATCTGGTCACGCGTGAGGAGGAGGTGGAGATACTGAGGGAGAAGTAAGCTTATTAAGGGAAAGTATTCCAAAATATTTACATCTAATCACAATTTACTCAACAGACTGAAGCTCTGCCAGGATCGGGAGAAGTGTATGGATAGCAGCAGCAGTCCGGAGCTGGAGCAAATGCGCGTCTTCCTAGAGGAAAAGGACAAGCACATTCGCGACCTCATGGACACCCTGAAGAACTTCCATGTTTGTATTGTTGTGGACACTTCAAATGAGGAGATTCACTTAACATTTATCCCTCTCCAACAGGACGATCAACAGCGCTACATTAACGACACATCCAACTATTCGGCTGACCAGATTGCCAAGCTGGCTGCCGACCTGAATCGCACCGAGGCCACCAACAAGATCTATCACACCCAAATGGAGGCACTGCGTCGCCAGCTGGCCAATGTTACGCAGCGCGAGAAGCAGGCGCGCGACTTGACCCAGTCGCTCCGCCAGCAGCTGCTCAAGCGTCCGGTGGTGTCCATCAAGACGGAGCTGAATGCTCGCGTGAAAAACGAGAATCTGCAGAAGCGGATCCAGCAGCTCGAGCTGGATCTGGATGAGTCGCGGGCCCAGCTGCAGCGCCAGCAGACGCTTCTGGACGCCAAGCGCACGCGTAGCGCTAACGAGGTGGGTCTTTGGGAGAAGCAGAAGCGATGGCAGCAACAGGCCGAGAAGCTCAAGAGCAAACTGGAGGAGACGGAACTTGCCCTGGAGAAGACACGCACACTGCTCCAGGCGGCACGCACGACAATCGCTCGTCTCGAGAAAGACAAGCATTTGCTCGAGTCGAAGGTGGGCAAGGCTGGAGCAAGCGGAGGCAATCCGGCGACCACAGCGACTAGTGCAGGTGCCCATAACGTCTTGAAGTGTTGTCGCGCACCGTCCTGCCCGAATCTGCATCACGTGGGCGCCGCAAAGTTCACGCCCTCGCCGTCGGAGAGTCCAGAAACGTATACGGGGCCCAGCAGTGAGTGCAGCTCGCCGGCTCACAATCAATCCCAGCCGAACTCCACACACCACAGCTTCTATGAGCAAGGACAGACGGAGTTGATAGAGGCTCTCAAGGCTCGGATCGAGATGCAGCAGCGCAAGATCATTGCCATGGAACTGGAGGGGCGTGGCAGCAATGCGTTGACAACCGAACTGGAGAAGCTGCAGGAACGCCTCCAGGCGGTCGAGGCGCAAAACATTCGCCTCGAAGCGCGAAATTTGCAATTGCAGCTGGATTCGGATCTTTTGCGACAGGGCGACAGAAGCGATCGCTTACAAAAGCGCATCAAACATCTGGAGGAGTAAGTGATGTCTGCTTATCCTTCTCCTGAAATCTACTGACTAAGCTACTTACTCCTATAGCTATATCCTTGCACTCAAGGAGGAAATGGCGCGCAACGAGTCGCGTCGAGACTTGTGCAAATGCAGCGGACTGAAGGTCAGCACTAATCACGGTCAGTCCGCGGAGCATACTATTCTTTCGCTGCGTAACTTGGTGGAAAAGCTGCGTTCAGAGAACAAGTTCCTCAAAGATGGCCGCACCTCCACGGAGTCGCGTGGCTCCACTGACTCACTGTCTGCATCCGCGGAACTAGCTCGGCTTCAGCAGATGCATGCGGATGCTTTGGAGAAAATCACTGCACTTCAGCAGGAGGTTGGACATCGCAGCAGTGATGGAAAGGTAGAGTCGAAAACTCAGAAGAAAAACACTACAGATTAATTCATATTTTTTAATTTAGGATGAGGAACTAAAGTACATTAAGGAGCAGCTCATGAAGAAGACACAACTGCTGCAAAAGGCAAAAGTTCTGCTGACGCGCGCTGCGGCCAAGGAGAAGGTGCTGAGAGAACAGATCGCTGCATGGAAGCGTAAATGCTCTGAGCTACAGAATGTGCCCGTTATCGATGAAATTAGCGAGTAGATTTTGTTTAACTAAAATTTTGTATAAAACTAAACGAAAGCGCGTTAAAGGCTAGTAAAAACGTTTCAAATTCACACATTTCCTCTTTCATGGCGTTGCCGTACTGAGAAATTAAAGTTATTTGAGGCTAAGCTGTGACGTCAGAGAACTCACAGTGGTTACATTAGCCAATCGATTATCATAAGCCGGTACACGTTATAAAATTCATATTCCTCTGGTGTTGCCGGACAGCGAATTTCAACAATTTGACGTCAGCCGACGCACTTTTGCTCTTAGTTCACATCATTCAAATAAGATTACCTAATTTACCTTGTATACCATTGTAATTGGACGCAGCACAAAAGAACGAAGATTATATTCATAAAAGTGGACTTCGCTCGACGCTGTGACCACAATGGGAAAGTACTGAGATACTGAAGGTATTTGAATCAGGCTGGCATACATTTATTAAAGAATTCAATTCAAATTGTTTAATAATCGTGATAATTCACATATTACAGTGGATTTGTACACTACAAACTATATAAACCCATACCAAAATGCCTTATGAGGATTTTAAGCAGTTGCTTGTCCAGAAAGAGGACAAAATTCTGATCATAAAATTCAATAATCCTCGCAAGAAGAATTGCATCAATTACAATGGATACAAGGAGTTAAGCCGTGTCTTGACAGCCGTTAACCAGGACGAGTCCATTTCAATCGTCGTGATTACCGGCGTGGGAAGCTTCTTTACGGCTGGCAACGATTTGTCCCAGAAATCCGAGATTAGCGACATGGATGCTTATTTTAAGGAGACCAACGATATATTCAAATCCATGGTCTGCAGCTTCCTGAATTGCACTAAGCTTATTTTCACACTGGTCAATGGCCCGGCCATTGGAATCGGCTGTACCCTTGTGGGACTCAGCGATGTGGCTTGGTGCGCCGAAGAGGTAAGCAATAGGTCGGCCAAATTAAAGTATGCTACAGCAACTTTCTCATGTAGGCCTATTTCGCGACACCTTTCAGTAAACTGGGTCTGGTGCCAGAGGCCTGCTCTAGCTTCACCTTTCCCTTGATCATGGGTCGTTCGAAGGCCACAGAGATGCTGGTGCTTAACGAGAAATTGAGTGCCCAGGAGGCATACCATTTTAATTTCGTGTCGCGCATCTTCAAGTTACATGAATTGGATTCTGTGGTGTGGCCAAAGATTCGCGAATATGCCGAGCTGCCGCCCAACTCGATGCGGGAATGCAAGCGCTTGATTCAGTTGTCCTCGCGGGAAAGTCTTCTTCGAGCCAATGATGCAGAGTGCGAAGCACTGCTAAAACGGTTCTACGACAATGAATGCATACAGGCCATCATTGATTTTGCTATGCGCAAGTCAAAGCTTTAATTTAGGGGTTCCATTTCAATTGTTATTCATGGTTTTATCTAACAAAATTATGATTTAACAATTAAAGCAAAATCAATTAATTTACAGTGTAGCAGGTTTTATGTTCTGATTGCAGCCAAATTTGACATAGTTATACGCCGTATACGGTCACACTGTGAATGGACTTCAAAGCTATATATATATATAAATTAAATTCATAAAGAAATATTTGTGAAAGGCATTAATAAAGTCAAACAACGTAAAAACAAAATAGAACGAATATATTTCTAATGCTATTTGTGTTTACCGATTATATTCATATTTTTAATACTACAGGTTCTATCGATAGGTTCGTACACTTCGTGCTTCTGTTATGTGACTGTTATTAACGGACCTCCAATCGATATCAGTTTGAAGCCAATTGGCAGATGTAAATTATAAATGAGATGTAATTTTGTCATACAACAAGATATTAGAATATTTAAAAAATCAGTTATAAGCATGTTTGGACTTTTGGTGATGTGAAGCTTTTAGTGCTTACACTGTTAGTAATTGCAGAATATGTTGTTCTGTTAGCTAACAGAAATGAGCAACTGTTAATGTTTCTTCACTGTAAAGATTGCTGTTGTTTAACAGTTCACACTGTCACCACGAGTGAAAGAAACGAAATAAAAGAATTTTTTTGTTGCACATGCAAATAAAATAATTAAGACCTTGTGCAAGTGGTACAAATTGTGTGCTCTATATTTTATAATTGTGCGTGTGCGGGTGGCGCGTGCAGAGAGTAACAGTGTTAATTAAACCAGCAGTCGACGCGACAGGAAAGCCTAGTGGAAAAGTTGCTTGCAGAATTCGTCGTGTCATTTGGAAAAAAGAGTGCCGCGGCAAGTGAATCTGAAGCACGAATTATTCATTGGCAGCAGCCACCCGCCGCACTGTCGTGGGGCCGCCCGCACGCAAAAAAACATGAAAGATTTGCCATACAATTGAATTACCATTGGCGAACCATTACAGGTAAGTCCCTGCAGCGCACTTTTCCTGACCGACCAACTGACCGCCCGCCCGGTTCGCCCCTAACCCTCGACCGTCCCTCCGGCACATTCCGCCGAGCTCTCTTTTGCCGTCAACGTGGTGTTCTCTTTGCTGGGTCGGTCGGTCGCTGACGCCGCCATTGGACATTGGAATGCGTGCATTTACATGCTTAAGTTACGCAGTCAATTTGAATTAGTTGGAATTTCGACACTTATTGAACTTGTTGCCTGCAGATTGCAGTTAAATTTTCCTTTATTTTTTGTTCGGTCGAGTGACGTAGTGTTTTACAGGTGTGTGTGTAAGTTTGTACGTGTGAGTGCGTGTGTGTTTACGTGCATGTGTCACTCGTTCCTGTTTATTTCCGTATGTGTGTGTGTGTGTGTGTGTCAAACGATAGCAATACATTTTTTCGCCAGCCGGCATTAAGTTTGGACATGCAAATTCATGTTGTTTTGAATTATATATTTTTGACACCTGAACGCCACTTGAAGTCGTCGGGGAGGGGCTAGTGGGGCTGTCACCCCACCCGGTACAGTATGACTGCACTCTCTTTCTCGCTCTCTCTGGCACTTGCTCTCTCTGTTTATTTGTCTTTTTGTATTTTTTTGTATGCTTCTTGCTTTTGTGGCCCACAGCTGTGCGGCGTTGCCAGATGTTTTGCAGCAATTTCAATTTAACCTCAAATTTTGGCGCTTCGTTTGTGTTAACTTTTGGTTTTATTTTTGTCGTTTCGCAGTAAAAACTTCAATGTTTGGCGTTTGTCGTGTTCATGTGCTGTGCATATCCTGAGATACGTCCAGAAACGCCAAACCAAATCCGATTGCACCGACAGTCGTCATCATTGCCAACTGCGTTGCCAGTGTAACGCAGTCGTTCCAATTATGGCGCAGCAAACGCAGCAGCCGGTTGCACAGCAGCAGCAGCAACAACAACAGCAGCAGCAGCAGCAACCGCCACCAGCGGCGACACCAGTGTCCACACCAACGACGCCACAGCCGCCGCCCATTAACAACAACAACAACGGCATTGTGTCGTCATCTAACAGTAATAATAACAACAATGGCAATGGCAACGCAGTGAATGCTGTGCCCACAATATACAATCAGCAGCCTCAGGCTCTGTACATGTCCACTGCCCATGGAGCAGCGCATCATCCGCACATGCCACATCATCCGCTCCATCCCTCTGCGATGCTGCCGGCCCCCAACAACGTCTTTGTGAACAATGTGACCGCCCATGTGAATCTCCATAACTGGCCGCAGACCGCCTACATGCCAGGCGGAGGTGCTCCGACCCATTATGTGAGTGCCCATGGCGACTTGCCACCGGAGCAGGTTAGTTGAAATCTAATTATTCATTGATTATTCTTTAAAATGTGATTCACTTGAATCTCACTATTTTTTAGGGCAATCCGCTAATACCACAACTAGCGCCAATGCCACACCATCAAGGCAATCCGAATGGCCACATTTCATCCGGTATGGGCGGACGCAATCGTGGACGTGGCCGCGTACGCGGCGGTGGCGGTGGCCAACGTCGCGGCGACTACCACGGACAACGCCACATGCAACAGCAACTGCAGCTGCCGCCGCAGCAGCCACAGCAACTGCAGCCGGACGGCACCAGCCCGGCACCAAACGCCATGCAACTGCAACCGGACCAGATGGTGCCGCAGCAACCGCCGGAGGCACAGCTACAGCCAGTGTCCTATTACGCTCCGCATCCGTACGCTGCATATGGAGGCTATCAGGGCACCTACTTTGCGCCGCATCACGGCCCCATACAAGCGCCGCCAACTGCGACAGGCGCTCCACATCCGGCCACTGGCATGCCCTTGTATATATCTCATATACCGCTCTACAATGGCGCACCCATGTACAACTACATGGGCGGCTGTTTCTACCAGCCACTTATGCAGCCGTCTGAATATCAATACTTGCCCGACGATGGTGGGCAGCCGCAGGGCGGCGTAGTTGATGACCGCCAGGTTTGGCATCCAACACATATGTATGCTGAAGATTACCAGGAGATGGCGCATGCGAATGGCGATGAGCTCAACCACAACAGCTCCACGTTGACCTCCCCGGAAACGTCGAGCATGCTGAGCCCCAACTATCCCATCTACGATACTCAGCAAATACACGAGATGCAACAGCAGATGGGCGTTATGCAGATCTATGAAGATGGACAGCTGGCTCCTATTCAGGCCATGCATCCCATTGCCGCTCCAGTGCCACAGGTGAGTGAAGCACAGTTAAGCGTATCGTTACTTTCATGCAATCTTTTACCTACTGTGTCAGTATGATGACGAGCTATCCGAATGTGGAGCTGCGCCTATTGCTGGCATGCCCGCTGCTTGGACATTGCCAGCAGATGCTCCGCCTCAGCCCATGCTGGTTCAGGCCGTTCCCTCACATCATATCATTCAGCCACAACCTCAGCCAACAATTTGCATCGAACAACAGCCACAACAGCAACAGCAACTGCCTGTCCAACCACCTCAAGCGGAGACGCCCACCCCACCAGCCCCACAGGAAGCGCTGGGTAAGTGCCACAAATTGATTATTCCAGCTGATAGCAGCGTTTTTTACTTGGGAACAGTTCCGATAGTGTCGGATAACCGATAAAGCTATTCTCTATTTATACTTTGATATTTTCATCAATGATGAACGAGTTGCGATAGCGTCTGTTGGGCATTTTTTGTTTATCAATTGCAATTTATTCAGGCATGACTCCGCACTAAAGCACTTAGAACTTGATTCCAATAGAATTCATGTTAATTCAAGTGATAAAAGTACATGTTATTTGAGCTTCTGTTGAATTGATAAAAGTCAGGTCGATATGTATTCTTTGATAAGCATTCTCCTTAAATGGGAGTCGAGTATGCAATGAACTTTCTATATCTCTATATCTAGTGTATATAGTGTGCTTTAGTACTCCACCTATCTATATATGTATTCCCAGATCACTTTTAATTTTTGGAGGAATGCAAGAAATATTTAATTGATTATTTACAATTTACTCCATAATATTTGACTTTGAAGAAATATTTTAAATACCGGATCAAAAACAAATCAATTGAAACAAATTTAAATTTAATAAATTACATTTTCTCCGTTAATCGATTGAATTTAGGATTCATAACACAGGAATGAATATTAATTGATATATTTATTTACATTGAGCTCGCTATGTTTCTACAAACATTGAGCCTTTTGTGGGAATTTTTCATATGAGAATTTGGGTTTTCATGAACTCCATCCTTAGTTGTGTTTATTTTATGTAATTTGTGCTGACTCTCCGGGTTTCTGTGCTCGGTTGAAGTCGTTTGGGGTTTCAGTTGCGTTTGAGTCAGGTGTACCCAAAATATCACATGATATGGGACGTCGTTGCGACGCCTTCCAAATGTTGTTTTCATTTTTTTGTGATACACTTATAGGGGTACTATAATTTGCTATAATATAGCTGAGTCAAGTTAAGCATTATTATTATTTTTGTTGTATTTTGGTTTTTGTCGGTATAGCTGCGATATACGAACATGTTTGATTCTGTACTTCATTTATTTCATTTCATATAATTCAATTTCCTTTCATTCTTCTTCGTTTCCTCTGTTTCTCTTCATTAAGTTTCTGTGTATTTTATTCGAATTTGGTAATTACTAAAAATCAATAGTAAGGGTATACGATATTCGTCATGCAGTATCTAGCATAATCTGATTTTTTTTTATAGTTTTGCTTAATTGCTGGGGCAGCTCTTTCCGAGTGATTTATTCGTATTGTTGCTAGGCGCTTGTTACTTGGTCTGCTGCGATCCGATTGAATTGTTTCTGAGTGCTTGTAATGCCTGCTCGAGTTGGTTATGAGGGGTAGCACTTGGGCGCGAAGCCCCTTAACAGGTGTTGGGTTTATTGTCTAGACATCACTTACATGTACTTGGGTCTATATTCTATTTAACTTTGATACTACTCTTTCTTACCACTGATCGGCTGTTCAAGGGGGCAATATCTCTCGCTTTGTGCTTCTTATTGTTGCTGTGCGTTCTTTATGCTTATCAATCGAGAGTCTTTGTATATATATATATACAGTTTATAGTACGTCAACGTCATGATCCACTTAGTGTCGCATTTGTGCAGTCAGTGCATTGYTATAGCCGGGTATATCAATTGAGGTTTTGAGGTTTCCTTAATTACTTTTACACTAGAACTGTTGTTGTATGAATTCGTGTAATGGAAATTAATAATACTTATAAATATTTATAAGTATTACACATTATGAATATACTTCCCAGTTCTAATGAGCATTTCTTCTTTGAGCTTCTTTTAGCTTCGCCTTTGCTGTGCCCCCTGGCTCAGTTGTATGATGCATGGCGTCCGGTTTAGTGTTGCCTTCCGCCTTATCAACCGCACAGTCAATGACATTTTTGTTGGCCACTGCCCATTACGGCCCAGCAAAGCAGAGCAAAGCGAAACGATACTTCACGCGTACATGGCTCACATGTATATTATGCACCCGGCCCAAAGCAAAATTGATAGCTGTCCAGYTCTGTACATATGTGTGTGTGTGAGTGTGAGTGTGTTTACCCTGTTAAGTTTGTGAAATGTCTCAGTGGGCATTTTATTGTATTTTCGCAGCACTTGGCGGGGCGACTTTGTCAATACTTTGATATCACGATATCACGCAGTGGCGTAAGCACATCTAGATTGATTTGTGATTGATATGTGTGTGTGTGGGTGTTTTTCGCAATACTAGCAACTCGCAGGGCTCATTTAAACGCCATTTATTGATTAGGGTAATCTGCCGGGCCAGTTTATAATCGGGCTGCGATTTGTGAGTGTTGCTCAAGTGGCGCACGTCCACTCCACTCCACTCCACTCCACGCCCATAATTGCTATTTATGTAGAGTTCTCGTCAGTTGAGTACAAGGTAATTCGATAAGGTGCCAAATGAATTATCGTTATCAGAACTTTGATCGATGCTCTTTAGAGCCAGTGTTATGTTATCATCTTTCCACTACTTACCAGCCAGCCGTATAACAGATCAAAATTCATGTTAATATTTGGAAAATGTTTTTATTTTCTTTTTTGATTGGTTTTCTTCTAACATTTGTTATTGTTCAGCTTTGCTTAGTGCTGCGAATGTAGTTTAGCATAGCTTAGCGATCTCATTTTAAGTTTTCTATATTTTTGTTGCGTATAACAGTTGAAATTTGTTTTGTTTTCAGTTAGGAGCATGTCTAAGTGTGTGTAAATGGCGTAAAACGGCATTTTATTGCTCTTTATGTGGGTGTGTGGGGTTGTCACCCACTCTATACATTTGGTTAGTTTTAAAATATAAATATATATATGTATAAGTATAACACAATCTATATTTGTATGTATATTTTGTTAATAGTTCTCTTGTGTATTACAAAACGCACAAGCCTTTAAAAATTTGTTTTCTTTTGTGATGGACTTGTCGGAAATATTTGCACGATTCTTTCATTTCATTTCATGATATACAAAATGTGAGCCATAAAGTTGCCATTTTTTTTATTGTACATATACATTATAAGTTAAAAAATTGAAAACAATTTCAGTTGATTTTTGTTTAGGGTTTCATTCATATAATATTTTAATATAAAATTTTATTAGTTTTGCGTTGTCTCTGCAATAGTTGTTGCTCTCCTCCTCTCCTCTGCTCTCAATTGGCTTACACGCTTTACAAGCTAATCGCTTTGCCATATTTATACATACAAAAAGTAACTAACTATTAGAATAGTAAGCTTTACACTCGTTTATTTAGTTTTGTTTTTTGTTGTTTCACTTTTCCAATCGCTTTTCGCTATCGGGTGTTTTTTCCTTTCCTTTCTTTCTTTCTGCTATAACTAGACCGTATGACACATTTAAACAATTGCCGTATAACAACGAATGCACAACAACTGTTATAATATAGATCGAGAGTTACTATAATACATGTACAGATACAAATACAATAGCAATAATGGTAATAGTAGTAGTAATAATAATCATAATAATAATCGTACATAATGGTATATTAAAAATCGTAAAATTTAACAAACAAATAATAAAAATATTTTACAATCTAGATTTTGTTGCTTTCGCTATTGTTGTATAATAACATTTGAAACTATAATCAATCAGAATTTATCAGAGTTCCTAGTTGCTGTTGTTGTTGGTTTATGAGCGTGTTATATATTAATATATTTATATAGCTAATTATATATGGCAGCAGAGCTCTGCTACAATCTTATCGAAGCTAAGCCAAGTTTGCTTAAATTTCCTAAGTTGCCTTCAAGCAAATCTATAATTTGTTGTGTGTATATTGAATAGTTGCTTAGGCATAGTTTCGGTTTTTGTATCGTTATACATAATATATAATTTATATATATAGATAGTTGTTTTGTGTGCTCTCTTTACAATACTTTCGCTTTGCCTGGACCTGGGCCTGCCCCTGCCTAAACTGCGATCTCCCATTGCCCATCTCTGATGTCAGCTTTGATCGTTGCCCCACCGTCAAGCCGGGGTTCCTCCTCTTTGTATAAGTTGCTAAAAAAATATCGCACTCTACTCTTAATTCATACACTTTATCATTCTTACATTCCTGTTCGCTCTCTTCGCTTTATTTATATTATTTGTTTGTGTGCTAAATTCTTGTTGCTTAGAGCTTTGATTCCGTCGTTGTTGCTGCTGGCTTCTGTTGCGTGGTGGGGAATGGCTGCAGTGGCTCCTCCTGCTGTGGACTGGGCAGAGTTTTGATGATCTTGGGCACTATGGTAATTGGCTGATCCTCGTCCTCGTCCTCGGCATCCTCGCCCTGCTCCTCGTCGATGGGCGTCAGTGTCTCAGCGTGCACTGGCGTCTCGTCTGAGCCACTGAAGCGCTTCATGCAGGGCGCCAAGAAGCTGGTGACTGTGGACACGGCAAACAGCGCACCCGCCATGTAGAAGGGCAGATCGTAGGTCTGAGTTAAGTCGTAGATTAGGCCCGCCAGCGGTGTTCCAAGCAGTGCAGCGAATCCTCTGAACAATATGAGCAGGCCGAAGGCGTTGGTGAGCTTGTCCAGGCCCAGCAGATCGACCAGAATAATTGACGTTAGCGAGATGTAGCCAGAAATGGCAATTCCAAAGGCGATGGACATGGCTATATAGGCGCTATAGCTGTAGCAGAGTGGAGTCAGTGTGACCGCCACTGTGGAGATGAGCAGGCAGATGTTGTTGAGCAGCAGCGAATTGACTTGGGGCAGATCCGCCACCCAGCCACAGAGGACACGTCCCACGGTGTTGGTGATGCCGATGATGGAGAGCAGCATGGCGGCGTCGTTTTTGGCAATGCCGTGCTCCTTGGCAGCATCCACCAGGTACACGAACGGCACATACAAACCGGCCATGCCGAATATGTTGGATACGCCCATCAGCATGAAGACGGGATCCTTGAGCAGGCTCACATCCAGCATGGTGTTCACCACAGACTTGACCGAATCGGGAATGCCCAGGCAGGGGCACAGGTCATACTCCTCGCGATGCTTGTCCGCCTCGGCCAGGGGATCCAGACGCATGCTCTGCATGCTCTTCTCGTACTTGGTGAGGGACAGCACCGAGTTGCGGTAGTTTGTTAGCGACTTTTGGGACTGATATTGGGGCAGATTCGTGACGGAGCCGGAGTAGAAGATGTCCTTGCGTGACATTGGACGCACCATGCGTCCGCCGCTGCCGCTGGAACTGCCTTGGCGCTGGGACAGCGACAACTTTGAGGTATTGAAGTCACCGCCAGCGCCCGCCTCAATATCGCCGCGAGATGAGGCGCGAATGGCCGCCAAGGAGGGCTGATAGCGTTCGCTGCCGGATGTTTTGCGCACGCGGCTGAAGGAGGGCACCGATCCGTTCTTGGGAAGACTCTGGTGATCGCCAGCAAGGAAGGCGGGCTGGGAGGCGTTGCGGATCATCGCATCCTGCGAATGGTACGGACTGTGCTCACTCTCCGAGTTGCGCTGCGAGCGACGACCCGAGCGCGTGGATAGTTGACCATTGCTATCGGCGTTGCCATTGTGTGGAGGGGACTGAGCATTAATTTCCACGACCTTGGACTCGGTGATGGTGGGCAACGTTGAGACCGGATGCAGACCGCCAGATTGCTGGGCCAGCAGCTCGAGATTGAGGCTGGAATGCACGCCTGGGTCGGCATTCAAGGGCATCTTCAGCTTGCGCTCCATGGTGCCATCCGGCAGCTGGACCATGAAATGGGATCCGGCAAACGAGCCGCGCTCGAGTTGCATCTGCTTCTCCTCGTACATGCGCTGCATCAGGGGCTTGACCTTCTTCTTCTTGGGATAGGTGAGTGGACGCATCATGGCGCCGAAGATGGCACAGTTTAGGATCAGGCCAGCGAAAATGAGCAGCGCATTCTTCCAGCCGTACTCCTCCAGCAAGTAGGTGGCCAGCGGAGCAAAGGCGAACGTGCCAAAGCCGGAGCCGCACACAGCTATGCCCGTGGCCAGGGAGCGCTTCGTCTCGAAATAGTAGCCCACGGCCACGACAGCGGGCAAATAGATCATGCCGAAGCCGAACCCACCCATGAAGCCGTAAGTGGCCATAAGCATGCCCACAGATCCGCTGAACGTGCTCAGGACGAAGGCGATGCAGGCAACCACGCTGCCGGCGATGCATACGGCTCGGCAGCCGTACTTATTGGCCAGGGCGGAGACGATGGGCCCGGCGCTAAGATAGACGCCCGACAGCAGACTGCCCACCCAGGCGACGGTGCCTTTGCCCTCGTGAAAATAGCTGACAAACTGCTCCAGGAAGATGCCGAAAGTGTAGGCGATGCCATCGACGATCATGTTGCACATGAAGCTGGCGAAGCATATGACCCAGCCATAGCCGCCGTCCGGCGGCGGCGGCAGTTCGCCGTAGACGCTAACCTCGTCCTCGTCATCGCCGCCGTCGTCGTCGTCCTCCTCGTCGTTGTCATCCTCGGGACTGTTGTCGTTCTGTTCGGCGGTTAGCCGTGCCGCCTCCTCACATGCCAGTTCGCTTTCCGTGCGCTCGAATTTGCGCAGGCGCGCCGCCGAGTTGCCAACGCCAGCTGCCGCCGACCCTGTATTAGTATTGCTATTGCTGTCCACCATAATTGTGTTTTGCTGTAGCTAATTTGTAGTTGCTTGCGTTAAGCCGTTAGTTTGCCTTGCTAAGCGCACACACTTTTCTTTTGCCTTGCTGCTTACTTGACAGAATTTCAAGCAAATGTTCTTTTCTTTTTGTTTTACTTCAATTTGAATTTCGTTCTGTGTTTCTTTTCTATTTTTTTTTTTTCACTTGCACGCCCGCTCGCTCACTCGCTCACTCGCTCGACTCCGCCAGCAGTCGTAGGCGGGAGGGAGTCAGAATCGTCGATTTGTCTGTTATGCGTTGCCGAAGTGTCGCGCTCGGTGCCGTTGCGAGTTATGCGAGCCTTAGAGCAGTCGCTGTCGCCGCCGACGTCGCTGTTACCGTTGCCGTTGCTGCTACTGTTTTTATCTTTGCGCGCGCTCAGCATTTAACGTGCTCTCTGCCATTCCCTAATGCTCTGCAATGCCTTTGGCGTTGCCACTCTTAAGTTTTGCTCTCCGCGGGAGTTAACAGCGAAGCTTTGGATGCCGTTATTTGAGATGTGTGCGTGCTTTGTTATTGTTAAATTGTAACTACTTAAAGTTCTTCTGCATTCTTATCGACAGACAAAAGATAGTGGAGGGAAAGAGAGCGCAGCTATACATACATATTTGAATTTATTTAATAACGGTCTGAGTTTTTACTGTTTGTCACGTTGTGCTGTGGATTTGGTTGTGCTTGAATTTGTTTTGTTTTTAGTTTATTTATTCGTAAAATGTTTGTATCGGTTGCAGTTGGCTGGCTAATCTAAAAATTTGAGTTTTGTTATTGTTTTGGCGTTGCAAACTTTGGCTGAACTTTTGCTTTTGTCGTTGACTTTGCACTTTTGCGTTTACTTTTAATTTCGCTTCGGCTTCGGCTATTGCTTTTGTATTTGTAATTGTATTTGTTGCCTTTGGGGCTAGTAGTACATGCTTCTGCTGCTTTTATGTATGGCACATTTTTGCATTGCTGCCCGCCGACGTCGCTGCCGCCGCCGCTGTCGCCACTTCTGCTTTTTGGGGGTGCTGTACGTATTCGGCGTTGCTCTTGCTGCCGCTGCCGCTGCTGCCGCTGCTGATGTCGATAATGGCAATGCAATTGTATAATTCGTTGAGCATTGAAATTAAATTGTCAAATGTGTATTAAATACAAATTCCTGGCGTCAGCAAAACACAGCAAAACTCTGTCGACAGACGGCCCCGCAACGTGTGATCGATAAAATGTGAATTGAACGACACAAACAGGCCGAGCAGTAGCAGCGACTACAACAACCACAATGAAAACAAATCCACCAACAATAACAACAGCAGCAATAACACAAGCGCACACGGAACTTGGCTTACGTGTTTCACTCTTAACCACACGTAGAACAACTGACGCTTGCAGCGAGCTGCAGTTTCAACTAAAGGCTTGAACTCGAGTCTGATGACTAGCTTTGGTTTATTAATTCATCTATATGCATAGATATTGTTAATATATGCTTTGGGTGTATACAACTTTTATTTTTTCTTTGTGCGCCGCGAGAGATACCAACAAAAAGCACCGCACACAGACTGTTCCGTCGTCACTGCTGCGCTGTTCGATATAAAATGAAAATGAAAATTCGTCGTAACCCACGGACGACTGAAACCGACTGACGGGGCTGCTAGAACTGTTATACTGCGATACACAAAACACACAGCTACAAAGGCACCAAGGCACCTAATGCGAAAGCAAACGCAAAGGCAACAAATACGTTACAACCTTATACAACAAACACAATTCCAATTACAAACAGCAACAACAAACGGGCAAAGCAAATAACCAAAAACAAAAGCAAAAGCAATAACAACAAAATAAATATCGAAAATAACAACAGCCAACGACGACGACAACAAAATATATTCTCACCATGCGGTGGCTGACATTGCGATTGCCTCGCCGATGTCGATGTCTAGTTTTCATGCAACGCATTTGAAGTTCAAGCGCGCAAGCTCTCTCGCTCTCCCTCTCACGCTCTGTGTTGGCCGCAGCGCTCTCTTTGGCTTTGCGCTCTCTTTGGCTGTGTGAAGCTCGCTCGTGCTGGTTTACAGGTATGCGGCGCAAGGGTTGCGCTTGGCAGAAACAGCTGATGTGCACATTGCCAAAGGCAGCAGCAGCGGCAGCCATAGCGGCAGCGGCAACAACAACAAGAAAAATAACAGCAACAACGGTGTGAACGCGAAAAGGAATGTTGGCCGTTGAAACGTTTCACACAGATTTCAGACAATCAACTTCACATAGTTGCCCATCCATCTGCATAGCAACTCAGCCCCCCTGGCGAACTACCCTCATCTATGACGCATTTTCTTAAGGGTTGTCTTCCTTTTTCGAAATGTCCGTTACATTTTTGTTGCTTAGCTTTGGCAGGCCAGGCCAGACAAAACCGGCACACGTATAACAGTTTTAGCCGTCTGCCCGTATAAAAGACGCAGCGAAAGAGCGTAAACTGTTGCTCTTAGTTTTGATTTAGGTTAAAGGTTAACTTGTGACTTTCAAACTTTTACTTTTTCGCCATGCGTCTGTATGCCGCCTGTATGCGTGGTTCTGTGTGCTTAACACTTTTTGGCGTGCCGCCTTTTGGGCGCCGCCAATGCGAGACCTTCGACAGTGCCCAAAACAGAAGCGAGAACTGTGCATTATCTTAACAGGTTTTTTTCTTACCTATAATAAATACATAGCTCAATATATGTATATATTTTGTTTTAGATAAGCAGAGCGTGCTAATTTCACAGTTTTTATAGCCCTATAAACGGATTATTTTTAGTCTTGAAGTAATGCGAACGTGTGTTTATAACAGTTTTGCTTTGGTGCGAGCTTGAGTTTAAGGGAATTTCGATCGGAGGTTCTCTTAGGGGATTTCTCTTAACAGGATTTGCTGTTTTGCCAAACGGTTTAATCACTGTGTGTGACTGCTCAATGTCATTCATAAAAATTGTAAGGTCCACACACAAACACACATACACCCACGCACACACACTTACAGCCATGTGACTTGTGGGTCAATGCCAGAGGGCAGCAGAGCAGCTCTTGGCGTTTGCTTCTCTGCCTTCGCAACTTGATTTGCTATGATATTAGCGCATTAGCCGCCCTCTGCTAGTCCCTCCCACGTTTTGTGTGATAGTAGTTGTTAGGGCAAGGAAATTGGACAATTAGTTTGGTCACATCGTGTAATTCTCGAAATCGAAATATAATATGCACACAAGACTAAACTGTTATACCACAAGTCAAGCACACACACACTCACAAACAATGCGTGTGTGTGTTCTCATTTGAAATGCATAAGGTTCTTAACTTGATATGCAAACCAGGCTGTGCTGGTTTCGACACGTGGCATTAGGCCAACGTCGGGCGGTGCGAGCTTTGAGTGGGCAGCTGTGCCACGCCCACCTAACCACAAAACGCTTTGTACATGCAGCAGGTGTTTGAATTACCTGCACAATTTCATCCGCTTGCACCAAAAGAGCAAAGCAGCTGCCGTTAACCGAGCAAATGGGATGGGTGTATTTCCTGGGCCCAAGCCAGAAAAGCACACAAACAAATTAATAAATGAATAAAGACTAGGATAATATACAGAGTAATAGAAAAAGCATTAAGGCCTTACCTTTGATTATGAATTTAGAAAAGCGATTTATATTTAAAAATCTAAATTTGTATCGCTATCATAATGATTAATTGATTAATTATCTCTCTCTACCTCTCAAAGAGAGCATTCTTCAGTTTATGGCACAGCAAAAATTGCTTTGTGCTGTCCATTTACTCTCCCATTAAAATTTTCCTTCGTTTTGCGAAAGAGTTGAATGCGCTTTTCTAGAGGCGTTTGTGTATTGAAGACGCCAATGTCATCGCCTCTTGGCCGGTTCAAGAATTTCTTAACAACCTTCTTCTCAGTTATTGTTGTTTTTATTTCTCTGATTTTATTTTCACTTATTTTTTCATTTTTTTCTTGCATGGTGTGGGGGGAAATAAAATTGAAATTGCGCATACGCCACATTGCGCCGCTGCCAGGCAGCTTGTGCGCTTTTGTTTAAAGGTGTATTTTTTACGCTGTGAGAAACAGTTTTCCTCGTTGTCACAGTATATATCACCATGTATATGCATCAGTATGCTATATGCACAATGCACATATACCTATATGTAGGTATGTACACGTATATGAATATGTGTATACATGTATGTGCATTTACAGAATGACGCAGTGCTATGGCTGGCTACTTTTATCTTTTTCTTCGCTTATATTTTGTTCGCATTTTACTTGTTGCTCTTCATGCGCATCGTTGGTTGTCTATTTCCGATTTTGTCGTGTTGCCGTTGCTGTTGGTGTTGTTGTTGTACCTGCTTGATACAGTGGTACCTCAATGAGTGACTGATATCCACACGCCAACTGTTATACCCATCTATATGTTAATGTCAGTTGCACACACACACACACACACGCATAGAGACCCATAGGAGCACATTTACATTTACATTAGCCGCCAGAAAGGTGAAGCGTGTTCTTGCCGTGCTCGTGTAACTGCTGTTGCCCCTTTACCATTCATCCTGTCGTCGCACCGTTGGGGTCCTTCCCGTCATCCCATCCCGTTGGCCAACTGCCAGTCCCAGCCCAACCCCAACAACCCAATTGAGCTGTCGCCTGCCTATCATTACCTATCAGCGACAATTCTTGGGAATAAAAGGAAACGTTACTTGATCCCCCTTGAATATACCCTGTAGTTAGCATTGAGTTTCATCAATATGAGAAACCCTTTGCTTACCAAGCCTGTACTATTGCAAAATGACATTATTTACTACGTCCCGTGCGTATGTCATATTTTTTTTGAATCATCAATAGATATTTAATATCGCCATGTTAATTGTTAAAGAAACCCAGTTGACTATATATGTAGCTTCGCTCCTAATTGGAGAATATTTACTTTTGCTATAAATATTCCCATTGCTATATTGACTCTTTGTCATATGTTTAATTGACAAGTTTGGTTTCTTATATACAATTTCGATGTAATAAGCCTCTTGAAATTGTTATAAACTAAATATTTAGATTCTATATAAAGTGTGTATGGTAAAATGAGCTCTAAGCCAGGCAGATAGAAAGATAAAGTTTATGTCGACTCGGTCGTACTCTACCTTTCTGATTGTTAAGGTTTACTGAGCTACACCCCGCTGCTGCTCTCTGCACTCACTTGCAGTAACAACAACATTGCGTCGATAGAAGAGAATGAAACAAACGACTGAATATAATCCCCGCCCAGTTTATAGAGAGCAGCCTGATTGTCGTCGTCGTAAATAATTTGTTGGCTAGTGCTTTCATTGATAAGAAAGCGTTTTACAGTTCTTAGCCGCTTGTTTGCCGTTTGTGTGTGCCGCTGACAGGTGTAGCGTTGGCGGCAGGTGACGTGCAGTGGGGGCAGGTAATTCGTTTTGTTATAGACGAAGGTCGCGTGCCGCCGTTTGTCGTCTTAGGGAATTATGCAATTTGTTTGGCTTATTGCTTACTGCTGCTGGCTGCCACAGCTCTTGGGCTATTATTTATTGTAAATTGACACAAATGAATTCAATTGAATTGCAACAGCAACAGCAACAGCAGCAACAGGGTGCACACAGCCACAGGCACAGGCACAGGGTGTGCCCTACTACGACTTGTTGCCAGGCAATCAAAAGCGTACGCAGTGGTGTATTTAACTGTTGCTTGTTTGTCATCGAATCGAATTGGCTAGATCGTTATCAATTTATATACAAGAACAACAGCAACAACAGCAATAATAATAATAGTAATTATAGTAGTAATAGTAATACTAACAGCAACAGCACTAAATGAGTTCCACGTGTGGCAATAGAGTTATATCACGCTTTATTTGTTTACTGCATTATGTTTTCAAGTTGTTGTTGTTGTTTTTCCCCTTCACAACTTACTGATAAACAACAAATCATTTGTGATTGAAAATGCATACGAGCAAATATATTTACTTGCTTTAATCAATTTATTTTACAATAAGCAGAGCTGTGCCATTTTTTGTTTTTGTGTATATAAATAGTAGTGGCCTGACTTTGCACTTTGAGCTGCTTTGTTTTTGTATCTCTTTGTAGTTTGTTGTTGCTTCAACATAATATATGTGAGTCAAATCATAAATGACTAAGCATAGCTCGTTTTGTCGTAGTGATAAGCGATGTACCAGATGAATAATAGTATATGGGGGATTAAAAGTAAGAGTGAAATCGGCATGTTAGGATCCAATATCTCATTGAATCTTTATTTAAGAGTAAGAAATATTGGATTTTTATCCTATATTTCAATCAATTTAGAATAATGAATGAAAGCCTTTTGCCAGTAGTAAAACTCAGCTCTAATTCTTATCTTTAGTTATTTATTTATTTATTCATATATGTATATACCTATCATACTTTGTTTCATTAATTTGCAGCTGAGTGTTTGAGTCATTCGTAATATTCAGTGAATTTCTTTTATTTCGAGTCTTTTTGCCATTCAGTCGGTTATCAATTAAATGGGCTTATAAATTGTAAGTCAAATGCAAATTACTCAAATGTGGCAATTGTTATTTTATTTCCCTGCTGTTATTGTTTTTGTTGTCGCTAATAAAAATTGAATAAAATCGCGCGTTCAATAACAACAGCCGCACACGGTCCACGCCTACCGAGAGGGAAGGGGGCGGACCAGCTACAGCAGAGGGAAGCCGATAGAGCCAGACGGCGGCAGCCCCGCTTTTGGGAGCTGCTCTCCGCGACTGCTGATGACCCCGTTTCGAGTCGCATTGCTTGGAAAGAAAAATCAATTAAATATCAAATGGAAAAGCAGCTACAAAACGAACGAACTGGCAACAAAATCTCGATTGTTCATATATAGCTCGACTCAGTGTAACGCGAGGAACGCAAATTCATTTGCGTAATGTATAACTGTCATACGATATGTGCATGTCATATGTCTGTCTGTGTGCGTGTGTTTGTGTGTCTCTGTAGTACAGTTTTTATTATATAGTGAAATCGAAAGCGAATTTGTCCAGTCAAGTGAAGTAGACGTCACAACTGTTCTAATGCTGTTCACTCTTCCACTGCCACTTCCACTTCCACTTCCATTTCCACCTCCATTTGCTGAACACTCCCCGCCCCTTTGGCTCCCTCCCAACTGGCGCCTTGATGTGTAAAAATGAAGTACAGTCGCGCTTGTTCGTGTCGTTGTTGATTTCCTTGTTTGCATTGTTGCATTCAACGTTTTTGTTGCTGTCTTCCATTATTAGCTGAACATGTTTAACTCTTATTGTTGTTACTGATTTCAATAGTTGCTGTTGTTGCTATTTGCTATTTGCTATTTGTATTTTGTAATTTGTAATTTACCTGTGCGCTCAGCTCTGTAATTATCCAGCTAACCTTGCAGCTCTCTCAGCTCATCGTCGCACCCAAATGTGACACAGTTTTTTTTTTTTTTTTTTTTTTTTTAGTACTATTATTATTATTATTGTAATCTCTAGGCTCTTTATGTAATTTGAATTCAATTCGAGTTTGCTTTGTATTCAATTTTTGCTCTATAAATTTTCATTTCGCTTTTGAGAGTTCTGATCCAATTGAATTCGAGTTGCTATTTTTTATTTCCAAGTTTTATCTATCATTGTGAGCATATTTATTGAGTGGCTCGCTCGTTAGACGTTAATTGAAATTAATTAACACATTCAGCTCGAAATTCTGGGTGCTCTACTATTGTTGGAAATCCGAGTCCAACTGGGCGCCCCGCTGCTATTTCTGCTGTTTGTCATATGACGATATGGGGTAAATAATATTTAGCACCGCCTTTTAATTGTGTACTGAGAGCATTCGTTATGATATAGGCGCTAATGAAATCTTAAATAGCTATCCTCACACACTCCAAGTGGCATATCTAATATTATAATTGTCTGCTTCACACGGGATGGGGGCATGCTGCCCCACGTGTCAGCTGATGGGAAAGGAGGCCTGTTTCCCCTAGCCTAGATATCTTGAAATATTGCATTCAGTTCTCTCAAAATCTCTGCATAGTTGAAACTGTTGTCAGTTGTAGAATGTACATTGAATATTTTCCTTGAATGTTTTAAGAAATTCCGTTTATTTATATAAATTTTGGGTCGTCAAATGTATTAAACTGGATTCCTATTTTATCGTATGTGTATGTATAATATATTGCGCAACGATTAAGTTCAATGTGAAGCCTGAATTGAAGTTTACCTCCGATTGGTTTTATTTGAGCAATAAATATTACGAATCGGATAATCCGAGTATCTCATCTGATTTATGTTTCCATTGCATTGTGAAAATGTGGCGAGATTCATCAGCTGTGCAAACTTGAATTTCTCAGTCTCTCAGCCACGCCTCAGTGCCCCAAGAGGGCCGTGAGAGACTGCCCGCCTCTGGCGTCGCCTAGGGTCTTATCAGCTGTTAATATTTACAGCGCGTAATTGTTAGTACTTGGGGCGAGACCCGCCGTAGCTCTCGCACTCCCTATCAGTGGGAATTATTAATTAGGCATTTATTACGGCCAATGGGTGATTGGAGCATCGCATCGTTGACCTCTTCGCATCACGTGCGCATTGTTTTTGCTCCCTTGTTTCAGCACTGCTCCAGCGGAGTGTCGTAGTTGCTGCCTTATCGGCAGAAATATTTCGAGTCGGTTTATCGTGCAGCTCGTATCAAAGCACGGCCCAAAGTTCAACTACATAAATATGGCTCGCATAGGCTCGCAGTGTACCAGCGTGAGGCAGCAATTGTGATTTACTCATAATAATGTTGCTTGTCCATACGAGCTGCTGTCGTTATCTCTTTTTTTGGGGGAGGCGCATATCGCACTCGAAACGGACATGGATTAAGTGCTTTGCCACACTTTTCGCAGTTATCGGCCAGTTGCTGGGCCGCCTTCTGCGGCATTATCTCTGCACTGTTATTGTTGTTGTTGTTGTTGTTGTCTCTGCTCGATTAAAGTGCAGCTGTGGCACCTAATTGCTGGTCGGGCGCATCTCTTCTATTGTCTTTGTTGATTAGCGTCGTGTGAACTGATTCGGTATTGACTTTTTGATATGGCGATCCACTAAATGCCATGTACGTCATATGCTTATCGATTCGCTGCCCTCCTTAGAGGCACGGCAGCAAAAACAAATCAATTAAACGACGTCCAAATTTGGGAGCATCAACGACATCCGATCCGAACGAAAATATCTCATTTGACATCAATTGGTATCAATTATGCAGGCAATGGAAATTATTTTGTATACTCACAGCAAATTGGATTTATGTGCCCCAAGAGATAGAGAGAGAGAGGGAGAGAGGGGATGGATTTAGGGGGCCTTTTGTTCATTTGAACAGTTGCTCATTAATTGAAATTTTCTTTTACAGTTAATAAAACGCTGCTCACCAACAATAACAACAACAACAACAATAACAGTAAGAGCTACAACGAGCTGACTTTGGAGGAGACACCGATTGGCAGCAACGAGAAGCCTCAGAAACTTGAGCTGGACTACCAACAGCAAAAGGTGGATAAGCATCAGCAGGCATCTAACCTGGTTGTATCCATCGCCACCGTAGCACCGCAACAGCACCAGCAGCAGCAAGTGGCCGTGCCACCGCAGCAACACCAGCAGCAGCAAACTTCGCCAGTTGTGCCCCAGCCACAGCAGCAACAGCAACAAACGGCAGCTCACAATGAGCAACATGGACAGCAGCAGCAGCAGCAGCAGCAGCAGCAGCAGCAGCAGCATACACCCCATCAGCAACAGCAGCAGCAGCAGCAACAGCGTAAGCCACCTCAGCAGCAGTACAACAGCTCGCAGCAGCAAGTGCGTCGCAAGTACTCCTCCGAGTACAACCACCAGCAGAATCACCACCACCATCAGGGCAGCAGCGACACTGCCATACAAACCACCAAGACGATGTCGTGGACAAACTCCGCCCAGCACAAGAAGTCCACGCAGTCGGTGGCGGTCACAGCTTCTCCCAACACTGTAAACAATGGGGCAACTGTTGCTGCGGGTGCAGGTCCAGCTGCTGCTGCTACAAGTGGAGCAACTGCAACATCCACTGGGGGCGGCTTCAATAAGCAGTCCAGCAACGTTGGCGGCGGCATCTACAGTCATCCCACCAAGACCTACACAAACCAGCAGCATTACCAGCAACAGCAGCAGCACTATCAGGGCAACTACAGCAGCAACAACAGCAGCAACAACAGCAGCAGCAGCAGCACTAGCAACAACAACAGTCAGCCACAGGTGCGCACATATGGCACGATGAAGGTGCCCTCATCGCCTGTTGCAAGCTCGGCTCCATCGCTGGAACGCAAGATTAGTGGGCAGCAACAGCAGCAGTCACAACAGCAACAGCAACAGCTGGGCAACAGCAATTCAACAACAACAGCAACTACCTCAACGGCTAGCATCACTGCGACGCCGCAACAGTTTCAGCAACAGACGTCCACTGAAAGTCTGTCCAACAGCACAAACAATGCAACGGTACCGCCGCAGCAACAACAACAGCCACAGCAGCAACATGGCCAATATGCTCCAGCTGCCAAAGCCCATGCGAGCTATGGAGTCAAGTCAAGAAACATCACTCAAAACTCGAGCACAGACGCCTCCTTCAGTGCAGCTGCAACTGCTGCAGCTGTGCAACCGGCGCTGAACTTGGCGCCACCCGCACCGCCTGCTTCGCAGAGCGCCAGCAGCGCGGACAGCGGCCAGCCCTCTTGGGCCAGTCTCTTCTCCAGCAAGAAGCCCGTGGCCAAGGTGGCGCCCTACGAGGGCAACAAGTCCCAGCAGCAACAGCAACAACAGCAGCAACCACAGCCGCAGCAGTCGTCGCAGATGCCAGTGGTGCCACCACAGTCACAAGCAGCACCACCGCAATTGCCTGCGCCACAACAGCAAGTGGCCTTTGCGTCGCCTTCGCAGAACCTGCCCAACGTTCATCATCAGTTGCAGTCGCCAACGCCGGTGCCGGCGCCAACTGGCCCGCTTATCACACCGGGCGCACTCTCCTATTCGGCGGCCTCGGCACAGGCTGTGCCGGCCCCTGTGGCCCCACCCGCCTCGGCAGCTGTGAAGCCGCTGAAAGGGGAGCCGTCGCGCGCCGCCCAGCTCGACGAGTGGACCAACAAATACGCCGACTTCTTGATACGTTACAAAACCAACCTGACGCCCATTAGCCTGCGGCCGCGCGGCCTGACTAACCGATCCAATTACTGCTACATTAACTCGATACTGCAGGCGCTGCTCGGCTGTTCGCCCTTCTACAATCTGCTGCGCTCCATACCCAAGCAGGCGGCGGTGATGAGCGAGGTCAAGACTCCCACAGTGAATGCCATGTAAGTAGCGAATGGCCCTCAACCCAGCTGCCACCCCATACGATGCGCCACAGACAAGTCAACAGACGCCTCGGCGCCAACATCAGCTGGCGTCTGTGTTACGTCTGTGGCACAGCAATTGTCGCCGGTCTCTGGCACGCGCTGATTGCCTCCGTTTTGGACGTAGTCTGCGCTGATGTCGAGGCCAACGCAAGTGCACGGTGCGTACGCATGGTGGGCCCATCGACGGCACCATGAGCACTGCTTGCACGCACATCTATATCTGCAATACATGGAACTGAGAGCCTTTTCTAAATTTCACTCTTGTTCTCTTCCAGGATGTCGTATATGAGCAACTTTTCGTCGCTGCCGAGCGGCACTCGCCTGCGCCTGAACAACAAAGCAGCTCAGATCAAGGGCAAGGATGAATTTGCCGGAGTTGATCTGCAGTGCGATTTGGCGTTTGAGCCCACGGAAATCTACAAGCTGTGGAACGACAGCCGCGAGGAGCACGTGGAGGGCAGACAGGAGGATGCTGAGGAGTTCTTGGGCTACGTTCTCAACAAGCTGAACGATGAGATGCTCGAGGTAGAATTTCACTATCCCTAAACGTGTAAATGGTTGAGCACTAAGATTTCTTGTATTTGTGTAGATTATCAAGCTGATTGCCAAGCCAAATGCCCAACAGAATGGTGTGGAGCAAGAACAGGAGATCGAGGATGGAGGCGACGATTGGCAGGTAACTATTTCCTAATGTATCAAAGTGGAGCCCTATGCTCTATGTTCTATTTATATTAATCATTGGTCGAGATGGTCGCCAATCATAGCATGGTTTAATCTTTAAATTTTACCGCAAAGATCATACATATCTTCTTATGTATAGAATAGAGAACTTGAGTGCGCTATCCTGATGGCTTATTTTAAAATATATTAAAAAGTATTTGTAGAAATGATTAATTTTATGTTAAGAAAAATAAAAATAATGATAGCACTTTATGTTAAATATAACCGTAGAGCATTAAGGGTACGCTATCTTACTAAAATATCGTATTTTTTTTTTACCATGCTCTTTAATATTTATATACTTATCATATTAATAAACTCTATTTTTCCAGATGATCTGCAACAATCGCAACAAGGGCAGCATTACGCGTCAAACTGATTTCGGACGCACTCCGCTGAGCGATATCTTCCGGGGTGAATTACGTTCGCGACTTCAGCGTGAGGGCGAGCACTCCACAGATGTTATACAGCCCTTCTTTACGCTCCAATTGAACATTGAGGTAAGTGAAATTGTAGAATTGCAAATTGGATACAAGTATATTAATCGAGTCATCATTGCAGAAAGCGGCGTCGGTGAAGGAGGCTCTGGAGATACTCGTGGGTCGCGATCAGCTGGAGGGCGTCACTGGTAGCAAGAGCAAACAAGAGGTGGTCGCCTGGCAGCAAATGACGGTGGAAAAGTTGCCCATCGTTTTGATATTGCATTTAAAATACTTTGACTACAGATCCGATGGCTGCACAAAAATACTGAAGAAGGTCGAGTTCCCTGTGGAGCTCAAAATCGATGCCAGTAAGTTAATATTTCAAGCCACAAAGAGATAGACTCAGCTGTTATGCTTTTTGCAGAAATACTCGGCTCGAAAAAGACGTCGCAGAAGCAGCGCACCTATCGTCTGTTTGCGGTGGTCTATCACGATGGTAAAGAGGCCTCGAAGGGCCATTACATAACGGATGTGTTTCATACCGGCTATAACAACTGGCTGCGCTACGATGACAGCTCGGTGAAGCCGATCGGCGAGAAGCAAGTGCTGCAACCGCACACGCCGCGTGTGCCTTATCTACTCTACTATCGGCGCTTCGATACCCTGCCGCAGGTGCAGGCTAGCAATGGCGGTGGTGCCGGCAATACAGTAGGCACCACCAACTCCCACGCACATGCCCATGCCCATGCCTCCGCCAACCCCGCGTCCAGCACAGCAGCTGCTAACTCAGCGAATAATAAATGAAACTAAGTTGTCAAAATAATGGCATGCTCGGTCTAAGGGCTTGTCAGAGTTGGGTTTTTAATGCATATACAAACAATTGAACGGTTATATTATATTTAAATGCCTATGTTTAAGCCCAAAGTCCAAAGCGCATGTATGTCTGAATGGTAGTTGTTTTGTGTGGTGAATGCGTGTGTGTGTGCGTGCGTGTGTGTCGTCTAAACTTAATAAATAATCACAACTCTTAGTTGGTAAGCTTTAGCCGTAATCCTAAGTTGATAACAGTTTAGTTGTGCAACAAAGCAAAACAAAAAGCCAACAGCAAGTCGTTGAGTCGAGATCTTTGTACAAAACGTAGCGCTTGGGATGGCTAAACGAAACAGCGAGCAAATTATATACATATAGACTATATAGTAAGTTTCTTAGATTCAAACCAGCCAATATCTGTAAATCCTGTGTGCCCCTCAATCCTATCTACATGGCACAAAACTCAGATGCGTGCATACGTAGTTGTAGACCTCTTCAATATGACAAACATTTAGAGCTCTATATGTACATAGATTCGTAGTATACATATATGATATGATATATTATATACACATTAAGATGTAGAATTTACTTGCAGTAATTGTTTATAGCATGCAGCATGCATTTAGGCGACAGAGAATACAATCAGCCGTGCATCAGGTCAAAAACAATAATCTTATATTGAAATGCTTTGAATATGCTTTAAAACCAACAAACAAAAACAAACATCTTTTGTATACAATACAAGACATGAAAATACATGAATAAATAGCATTATTTTGTGTGTAAGTTCAAAATAAGTGAATGCAAAAACAAAAAACAAAAAAAGAAAAATGTAAGCGATTTTTTTTTTTGTATTTAATATAGTTTGTTGCTTAGTTAGATCCCATATTAATTTAGAACTACATATATAACTTTTATGAAATCTGTTTGCATCCATTATGATATTTTAGTATCTGTTACGAAAAATCGTGAAATTGGTTCATTCATTATATATATTTAAATATTCTATTTTTTGAGAAATTGTTTTATGTTTCGTTCCCAATTACAAACAAACAAGATTTCTAGTTGCATATGGAGTTAATATCACACATTACGCATATACATAAAGGCTCACATATATTTTTTTTCTAATTCATATATTTACATTTACTATAAATAACGTGCCAATGTTAAAATTCGATAAAAATTAAAAAAAAAAAGAAAAAAAATTATTATCCAAAACAATAATTTTTGATACTTGTGTAGTCAGYGACTTATCAGAGGAATATTGTTAAACTTAGTTACAAACTTTTGTTGAAATAGGTTTTATATATAATAATCGATGTAAATTAACGTGAAACCTATATAAAACCAATGCGAACGCGCCGACTTAGAATTGTTAGAATCTTCATATGAAAGTAATGAAGTTTAAACTTGCAAGTTAAAAACTATTCTACAAAAAAATTGTTTAAAAATAATATATATTTTTTAAAATTATA